ATAGGTTTAAGGTGCGAGGGGCAAGGTTTAAAGGTGATGTGCGAGGCAAGTTTTTTACACAGAGGGTGGTGGGTGCCTGGGACTCACGCCGGGAGAGGTAGTGGAAGCAGAAGCAGATACAATAGTGACTTTTAAAGGGCGTCTTGACAAATACATGAATAGGGTGGGAATAGAGGGATACGGTCACTGGAAGGGTAGGAGGTTTTAGTTGTGATGGGCAGCATGTTGGTGCAGGCTTGGAGGGCCGAAGGGTCTGTTCCTGTACTGTAATTTTCTTTGTTTTCTGTTCTAAAAGATTTACAAGAATGTTGCCAGGATTGGAGGGTTTGAGCTTTAGGGAGAGGCTAAATAGGCCGGGGCTTTTTTTTTCCCCTGGAACGTAGGAGGCTGACAAGTAAACTTATAGAAATTTATAAAATCATGAGGGGCATGGATAGGCTGAGGTCTTTTCCCCAGAGTGGGAGAGTCCAAAACTAGAGGGCACAGACTTAAGGTGAGAATGGAAAGTTTTAAAGACGTGAAGGGCAACTTTTTCTCACAGGTGGTGTGTTTATGGAATGAACTGCCAGAGGAGGTGGTGGAGGCCGGTACAATTACAACAATTTAAAGGCATCTGGATGGGCTTATGAACATGAAGGTTTAGCGGGATCTGGGTCAAATGCTGGCAAGTGAGACTATGTCAGATTGGGATATCTGGTCGGCACGGACAGTTTAGACCAAAGGATCTGTTTCCGCGCTGTGAGGCTCACACTCTAAGCTGACCCAAATAAAACCTTGCAAGCTCATTGTCCAGGCTACCTTTTGTAATCTGATTTATCCAATTTATAAATAGATTAAATTCAACCATGATATGCGCTGCATATTTCTTGCAGCACCCCTTTCCATTATTTCTTCCTGTATACACCTTCTTAGACTAATTACTTTTAATGACTTAAACTACTTCAATTGGTGACTGCTTATTTTTGCTATTTTCTTATTGCTACTCGAACTGCATCTCTATCTTGGGAATTCCATTTTTCTTTCACCTATTATACTAATGTCATCCTTAATAGAATTACCCCATCACCTTTTCCTAGCTTCCTGTCTTTCTGAAAAGTCACGTACTGTAGAATGTTATCATTTGAGCCTTGGTTAGATCATGCATATATTTATTTCTATCTAAATTGCCAATTCATCCATTTTTCTGTGAATGCTAGGCATGTTAAAATACTAAGCCGTTAGTTTTGTCTTTTTACTGTTTTGCCACTTCTAGGTCTACCTGCTGGCATACTCCTCCAGTTTATATGCTTAATTCCACCTTCACAACTTCCCTCATGGTGCCTTGACCGCTCCCCATTAGTTTAAAACCCTCCCTATAACCTTAGTTATACACGATAGTTATTCAACTCACTAGACCACTGGACCCAGCGGTGGTCAGATGAATGCCATCCCAATGATACAGCACCTACTTTCCCTAGGAACGCTTACAATATCCTATAAATGGAAAACTATTTCCCCTTCCCACTAAAATTTAAGCTACAAATTCAACTTTCATAATTTTTATTAACCATGCACCAGTTTGCTTAAGGCTTGGCTGTTCTGAAAGCAAACCCACACAAACCAGACACTTGGGGTGGCTTATCAAAACAAGACAGAGTTCATGGTCTAAAGTTGTTAAACCCCGTATTGAGTCCTGAAGACTGTAACGCATCCAAGCAGAAAAGGAGGTACCACTTCTCCAGTTTGCTTTGGTCCTTGCTGGAATGCTCCAACAGATCTAGGACAGAAAAATGGTTATTGCTATGTCTGCAAGAATGACCTCCACCTTCCAGCAATATGGTTATTGAAACGGCAAGTGGCTGGAAGGTGGAGGTCATTCTTGCAGACAGAGCAAAGGTGTTCCACAATACTTAATACCCAGTTTGTAATTGGCCTCATCAACATAGAGGAGATGTGTGAACACAGTAGACTAAATTAAAAAGTACAAGTAAATTGCTGCTTCACTTGGAAGGTGTATTTTGAAATTTTGGACACTGAGGAGATACAAGGATAGTGCTGCACCTTTCGCAATTGAATGGAATGGTACCATGGGGGTTGGTGAAGAAGTGTTGGGGATGTAACAAGGTGTGGTCCCTACTGAATGCTGACCGGGGACGGGAGGATGTATTTGAAGATGACGTCTACTAGAGGTGGAGAAAATGGCAGAAGATGAATCATTGAATACCAAGGCCAGTGGGGTAGAAAGTGAGTGCAAGGGAGCCCTATTGTTCTGGGAGGGAAGGACAAAGGGTGAGGCAGAAATGTGGAAGATGAGTCTGGTGCCGCTGAGGGCCCTTTCCAACACAGTGGGAATGGAAATCCTCAGTTGAGGGAAAAGGAACACATTTGGGAAGCAGATGCAGTTGAGAAACTTGGAGAATGAAATGGAGGCTTACATGAAGCAGAATGTGATAAAATGTTGTAAAGGCAACAATGGGAACTGCTAGATTTGAAATGGATATTAGAAGACAGTCTAACCCTAGAAATTGAAACAGAAGTCAAGGTAGGGAAAAAACAGTTGGAGATGGAACAGATGAATGAGAGAGAAGGATGGAATTTGTAAGTAAAATTGAGTTTTTCCAGTTCTATCCATGGGATGCCACATACTGGAGTCTCAACATATCACCTGTCCTGTCACTTTTTTTTGTTGAATTTTAGTTAATTGTATTTTTCTAAAAAGCTAATGAATGCCTCTATTCTTGTGTTTCACCGATTTTCAATTTTGTTCTAATCACTCTGATTTGAAATTCCCTAACTAGATTGATTAATAGGATTTCATAAAAAATTTTCAGTATCCAATCACACACCTGCTTCCTATGATGTACTTTATTTTTGTTTGTTTCTGAGTTCAAACTTTTGCTATATTAACCCTGCTGTCCCGATACTGCGCCATTGAAGGGAGATTGGATTAAGGTATTCAAGTTTATGTCAGGTTTAAATATGATAGACGAAGAAAAGCTGCTGTCATTAACTGAGGATACAAGGATCAGGGGACACAGATTTAAGGTTTTGGACTTGACACAGGGAAGGTTTCAGGAAGAACGTTTTTACGTTGTGAACAGTAATGGCTGGGGACTTGATGCTGTTGTTGGTGCTGGAAGTGGAGAGTTTGAAAAGCAAATTGGATGGACCTTTTGAGGGAAATGCTTTACTGAGAACTGGTATGAACCAATAGGCTGATGGTTTCCTCTTTTGTCATAAGCAATAAGTGTACAATTCTGAGAATCATTTGGAGACTCTGAATCTGGCTGCATGAGAACCAAATTCAGTGTTCAAAAGCAATGAAAATGAATTTGAAATATGATACTTTATGCAGTTTGTCCCAGAATGTGTGAAATGGGTACATTTGGGGATGTGTTTAGTTTTCTTTTGTGAGAGGATATTCAATGGTGTGCAGCTTTTTCATGTAAAAAATTTCACTTAATACTGAATCGATTTAAAGCTTTGCACTAGTTTTTAAAGTAGACATGCCTAAAATGACTATTACAAGGGGGCATAATTTTAAGGTGATTGGAGGAAGGTATAGGGCAGATGTCAGAGGTAGGTTCTTCACACAGAGAATGGTGGGCGTGTGAAATGCGCTGCCGGCAGTGGTGGTGGAGTCAGATACTTCAGAGACTTTTAAGCGACTCTTGGATAGGCACATGGAGGATAGTAAAATGTAGGGTATGCAGGGTAGATTGATCTTAGTAGGATAATATGTCAGCACAACATCGTGGGCCAGAGGGCCTGTACTGTGCTGTACTGTTCTATGTTCTAAAGAAATTGCAGTTGCTACCCTGGAGACAGACTGAGAAGTTTCTCAGCAACGCAGGTAAGCCAGATGGCCTAAGCATAATGCATCAACCTACCACTACCAACAAGGAATCCATAGATCCACTTGAGCATTTTGGAGAGATCTCTATCTCTCTCTCTCTCTCTCTCTCTCTCTCTCTCTCTCTCTCTCTCTTTTTATCTGAAGTATTAGTAATAGAGAGCAAATGGTACATTGGCATTCATTCCAAAGGGATTAGAGTACAGAAGTAAACATGTCTTGCTGCAGTTGTATAGAACCTTAGTTAGATATCACCTGGAATATTGTGTACAGATTTGATCTCCTTATCTAAGGAAGGATATACTTTCCATAGAGGGAGTTAAACTGCAGTGCACTATATTAATCCCTGGGATAATGGAATTGAATGAGGAGACTGGTTCGATATTCCCTAGAGTTTCAAAGAATGAGTGTTATTGAAAGTTAAAAATTTCTCATGGGCTGTGGCAAGATGTGTATAGCTAGGATACTTTTCCTGACAGGGGACACAATGTCAGGACAAGGCGCAGGTGGATTTAAGAGGAATTTCTTCTTTCAGAGTATAGTGAATCTTTGGAATTTTGTACCCGAGGTGGCTGTGGAAGCTCAATCATTGAGCAGGTTCAAGATCAAAATCAACAGATTTCTGGACTCTAATGACCATAAGGATATGGAGAGAGTGCAGTAAATTGCTTTGTGAATCAATTGTGTGTATCTGGCTCATTCCAGTCAAGTTGAGTTTGCAGTCCATCAATGCATAGTGCCTTGTTAAAATCATGATACTTAGCATTCCCAATGAGTTAGGTTTCTGAATGTTTCAGCTGGTCAGGTTGTTTCATGAAAGTAAGAGTTCTCTGTTGCTTGTTGACTCTTGTCTCCTTTGTAATCAAGTCCAAAGCGATAAAGTAAACTGCATACACACTGGACTGTGTAGCAAATAATGTTAACATTTTCAGCAACTGAACTTTGTACTATAAAATTGAGCTGATTTATTGTTCAACCTTTCCTTCAATCAAATAAGGCTACTTTTATTCATTTATTAAAAAATCACTAATATTGCTAACTTTTTGCCTGATATGTTACAGACATTTGACAGATATGGATGACGTGCTTCAGTTACCTAGCTATTTTTGATCTGATATTGTTTGATTCGTGCATGTGTACAATACATTCATGTTCCTTTTAACATCAGGTGGAGGAGTCTGAAGGGCTTATAAATGATGAGTTGCCAAATTGCTGGGAATGTCCAAAATGTAACCAGGAAGGAAAAACAGGCAAAGTAAGTGTTGATGAAATAAACTTTTTTTTAAAAGAAAATTCTTGATTTAAAGGAATTCTAAACCTAATTTAGAAAACGGAGAGATTTGGGCCTGAATAATTTCTGTTCAGAAATTATTTTAAGCTAGAAGCAATTGAAATTAATTCTGATTGTTTGTTTCACAATTTTACAAGTTTCTATATTTCTACTATAAGATCTCCATATTCTTGTATAATGAAGGAACGTCTCATCTTTCTCTTTCTTCTTATCCCACCAACACCCAACTTCCATGCACCCTGGCTCTTTGTTCCCTCCCTCCATTTTATAGATCTGGAATAAACCAATTTGACTACTTTATTAATTGACCATCTTGGGCTGTGCAAACAAAGCCATTTGGGTCTCCATATGCACAAATCTCTAAATTCAATCATACAGTGTCCTCTTTCTATCTTGTAATGACCAGATGATGAGCGGTAAATTGTTTCCCCTCTCTTTATTCCCCCATCTTAGTCATTTGCAATGACTAATTTTATTCCTTAGCATACAGCCATTTTGCTGTAATTAAAATATTGTATTAGTCAAAATTAAGGAGCCAATTTTGTAAAGTTTATTGAGTGAAAGAAAAAGCTTTTTATTACCTTCTAACCCTGAGAAAAAAAGTTAACAAAATTCGTGCAATCACAGGTAACATTTTACAAAGGAGTCTGTGTCTGGTATAGACAAGAAGAATGAAGATTATGCAATTTGAAAGCTCTTGGAGTCCTTGAGGTGTTAGATTTCAAAGTGAGATCACAGCTGTTTGGTCTCCTTAGCAGTGGTGAAGTTTGTGGATACCTTTTGAATTCTCAGTGACTGGTTATTTTCTCAATTTGCATTTTCTCTGGGTGTTGGCTGCAGAGATAATGACAGAAACAAGCAAAGAGAGGTTTTATTCCTGTCCATTTTTTTTCTTTGTTGTGCTGCTGAGAAACAGCTACTGAAATACCATATATTCACAAGTCTGGCTCCATTGTCTAACATGGCTAACTGGCAGATGTTCTTTGAACTCCCAATATATGAAATTATCATGCATTTGTGAATTTAAACAGTGGATCAAAAATTACTAATGCTCGTTCAGTTACTTTGTTTCAATGACTTTAGATAAAATAGAAATTTCATTGAGGATGGATTTGCCTATTCAACATTGGTTTCCTGTTACTGGACTTTTCGCCCTTGCCTCCAAGTAACCCTACAAGGTGCTTGAGACCTGCATTATACAGCTGTGGTCAATCTGAAAATGTCAGGTTACCCCATTACCAGATTTCACTTGCATTAATCCTTATTGGTGTTATTTTTATGGATATGTTTATAGAGCTTTGTATAAACATGTTTAGTACTGTAAATACAACCTAAACACTCGAAAGAACAGTTGTATAGAGTCAGTCATACAGCACAGAAACAGACTCTTCGATCCAACCAGTCCATGTCGAACATAATCCTGAACGAAACTAGTCCCACCTGCTTGGTCCTGGCCCATATCCCTCCAAACCTTTCCTATTCATGTACCTATCCAAATGTCTTTTAAATGTTATAATTGTACCCATATCCATCACTTCCTTGGGAAATTCATTCCAGACGCTATCTATCCTCTCCATTTTTAAAAAAAAAAAAAATTTTCCCCTCATGTCATTTCAAATCTCTCCTCTCGTCTTAAAAAATATGCCCCCTGGGATTGAAATGCCCATCTTAGGGCAAAGATAACTACCTATACCTCTCATTATTTTGTAAACTTCTACCAGGTCTCTTCATACTTTAGGTACACCTAAAAGGTCATACTTTCAGAATTAGAGATAACAGTGTGGAGCTGGAGGAACACAGCAGGCCAGGCAGCATCAGAGGAGCAGAAAAGTTGACATTTTGGGTCGCGACCCTTCTTCAGAAATGGGGGAGGAGGAAGAGAGCTCTGAAATAAATAGAGAGAAAAGGGGTGGAGCTGGGGACGGTAGGTGGAATGGTGATAGATGAGTGCAGGTAGGGGGTGGTGGGAATTGGTCAGTGAGGTGGAAGGGGTGAATAGGTAGTCGAGAAGATGGACAGGTTGTGTCAGGTCAAGGAGGCAGGGATGTGAGGGAGGGTTGGACATTGGATGAGACTCAGGGTGGGGAGGTTTTAAAACTGGTGAAATCCATGTTTAGGCCATTGAGCTGTAGGCTCCCGAGGCAGAATGAGGTGCTGCTGCTCCAGTTTGCGGGTGGCATCATTGTGAGACTTGATGAAGCCCAGGATGGACATGTCACCCGGGGAGTGGGAAGGGGTGTTAAAATGGTTTGCGACCGATATAGAGGAGGCCTTATCGGGAGCAGCGGATGCAGTAGACCACATTGACGGATGTGCAGGTGAACCCCTGTCCAATGTGGTAGGTTTGTTTTGTGTCTTGAATGGAGGTGAAGGGGGAGTTGTAGGGGCAGGTGTAGCACTTCCTGCGGTTGCAGGGAAAGGTGCCAGGGTGGAGGGGTTAGTGGGGAGTGTGGAGCGGACGAGTGAGTCACAGAAAGAGTGGTCCCTACGAAAGGCTGATAGGGGTAGGGAGGGAAATATCTCTTTGGTTGTGGGGTTGTATTGTAGATGTCGGAAGTGGCAGAGAATGATATGTTGATTGCAGAGATTGGTGGGGTGATATGTGAAGATGAGGGGGATTCTGTCTTTATTTTTGTTGCGGGGAGGGATGTGAGGGCAGAGGTGCAGGAAACACAAGAGATATGGTTGAGGGCGTTTTCGATCACCGGAGGGGGGATGTTTTGGTCCTTGAAATAGAAGGACATCTGGGATGTTTAGGAGTGGAACGCCCCATCTTGGAACAGACACGGCGGAGGAATTAGGAGTAGGGGATCACATTCTTGTAGGAAGGTGGGTGAGAGGAGGTGTAGTCTAGATAGCTGTGGGGGTCAGTGGGCTCGAAATAGATGTGTGTTTCGAGGCAGTCACCAGAGATGGAGAAGGAAAGGGAGGTATTGGAGATGGACCAGATGAATTTGAGGTTGGGCTGAAAATTCTTAGTAAAGTTGATGAACGTTTAGAATTAGTTTTAAAGAAATAAATGGGACATTGTTGTTTTTAAATATTGCATAACAATCTGGATTCAGCCAAGCACATCCTTATGATATTGTACATGCTTAGCCTTTTTTTAGGAAATGTGACTTTGAAAATATCATTGTGACATTTGTAGCTTTGTACTTAAACCAAACACAAAGGGACAAATGAATTAAAGTAAAATATATGTAGACCACTTACCACACCAGGCAGCGCAGTGCAAGCTTCTCTGCAATCGCGGGTGGTAATGTGCGTTTATTCCCATTTCCGATCTTCATGCAGAAGAGAGGCCCTGGGTTTAAATTCGCCTCCAATCTTCCTGGGTCTCTCTTAAAGGAGTTTAAAGAAGGTGAAGATGGAGGGAGACGAAAGTCTGAAGACCTTGGACGTCCAAAAGTGGAGGAATATCATCCCAACAGACGGAAATCTGATGATGGTCTAGGACTCAAACGAAGAAAAGAAAAAGATTTACCAACTGATTTGGGCCCAAGTAAAAAGGTATTGCAATTTTCAAAATATTTTGTTTAAAGATCTGATTAAAAATGGTTAATAGTTGGCAATTTATATGTTAGGTGCTCATCCAAGTACAAGCTTAAAGAACTCCCATCGCATATGGGCATTGCTATGCAAATACATTTGCATACCTGCACAATATGTTGGTTTACTTGCAGGGAAATACTTCATGTAGGTTGTCATTTATGTTGTCCTTTGAACCTCTGATGTATTCCTGTTGGTGCAGCTAAATAGGCTATGGAAGTACCTGTTTTATCTTTAATTATTGTAATGCACAATATAATGTTCTGAATTAGAATATTAGTCAATCAATTTGAACATAGTGTTGTGGTTTTAGAATGTGCAGGTATTGTCACGGGATCCTATGTCCCAGTGTGGATATAACGTAATTACCAGGATTATGCTGATTTGGGTGTTTAATAAATTGGATAAAGATGGGCCATTGAAATTGTTCAGGCACTTGAAATGGTGAATTCAATCAAATGAAATAGTGTTTTGGAAAACTTGTAAATGGTAAAATGTAACTTTTTTTTTTCTTCATTTGAAGATGACTTGTTTTGAGAATAGACATCTTAGCCAGTACACATGGCAGTCTTTTTATTTGTTCCTTGTTGTGGCACTAACTACAAACCAATTTGCCCAAGTGGACTCTATTTAGTAACATGGCTTGGTTGGAAAATGTTTGAAGCCTTGCAGTGATGATATTGGTGGGCCATCTACATCTTCTACAACCTTTTTTGAGGTTTTGTCCATAAAGACAGAATGTAACAAAGCAGAATAACCCTTTCTTAAAAAAAAAAGTGCTTAAATTTAATCAAATTTTAAATTCAGTTTTGTGATGATAGGGCAACAAAGATCATATATGAATTTATTGTCAATAAATATAGATTGATTCACTCCGTGCAATGTTAAACCTACCAGTTGATATGTGTTAAGAAGAAGAGGTGTACAGATGTAATATTCTGGCAGGCAGTGGATGGGCTTAATAATTCGGTGCACAAATTATCCCAGAGATTACCACCAGTGCAGTGCCTGCCTCAGACGATTACATGAGCATCCAGAATCAGTAACCTTAGACCTTTCGTTAAATATGTGGTACGTGTGTGTAAAACTCTTGTGAAATGAGCTTTTTTCCAGAGACAAGATGGACGTGCAGGAAAATATGGCCCTTTGTTTTTAACAAAACGTTTTCTGAAATCTTTGTAAAATAATCGCATTCACTTGGGTGCAATTTGCATTTTGTTTTGATTGTCCAAACCACTTATTTTTCCTACTGGCGTGATTTGGTCTGGCTTTGAGCCTTCAACAGTTGTACCCTGTTTCGGACTTTAGTCTGTTTCTCGTTAAAACTTGAATTGCAATAGTTATCTGGGTTGTCAGCCAAGCTTGACAGTAAAAGTGTTTATCAAACTTATGAAATAGAATGAAAGAACCAAAAATGGAGTAAGTGATGCCAAAATGCCATTTGAAGGATGAAATTAAAATTGTGCAACTTGCAGAAATCCTACAGCTTGGAAGTTGTGTTTTTATTTTAACGGTGTAGAGCTGTTACTAGAATTGTTCAGATACAGCAGGGTTTTCCACCTCCTTTCTTTTTGAAAAACTAATCCAATTAATGGCAATTTGTCCATATCCCTGTACTTCCCTATTTCTCCTCCCAGCCAACGATGAAGTTTAGCTTACATTAGGCTGCATTTTATTCTTGGCAACAAATTACCCCAACCATGCATGACAGCACACTTGCTTTCAGGCATTCTATTGGACTCTGCTTTGAAAGTTGCAGTTACCCTATATTAGAAAGTCATTGGGATGCAGCACTTCCTGCAGGGAATCTGAACAGGATAAATAACTTCCTCATTTAAAGGTTCTTTTAATTGATTTTTTTTCCATCAGTTTTTTCCCAAACTTGTTCTCAATGTGACTGTATTTTCTCATGACCCAAGAGTAAGTTTTGGTGATTTTCATTGCGGTGGGAGGAGAGCAAGTAGATTTGTAGGTTTGTGCCACTGAGCAGGTTCTGTCTGTTGCAAAGTATGTCAAGATTGTAAAGGAAAACCTATATTTTTGCAGTCTATTTGCACCAGGAATCAGGCCTCAAAAACCTGTCCATTGAGCCATGCCCTTCGTTAGAAAACATGATTTAAAGGGACCTCACAGCCATTAGTTTCATGGCAGCCATTGCTGCCTTCTACATTTTGGGTCTGGAAGGTATACTTGCTACATCTCTGAGGATCAGGGCCCCAGTTTTGGAAACCTTGAATTATAAGGAATTGAGGGTATGCATTCACAACTCTAATCGGCACTTTCTGCTTTAATATCAAACCAGGTACAGAAAGCAAAAACAAGGGGGAAGAGAGGTGAGTTTGAGGGGCACAAAAAAAAAGAGAATTTTACTTGTATCTTTTTCTTTTTAAAGTTTCAACATAACTAAAATCTGAGTCCCCACTTGTAAAAATTAACTTTGTGTTAACGCTGCTTATTACCAGCAAGTAAATTTATCATTACATTAAGAATTAACTTGGAATGGGTAAGCCCTAAATTTTCCTGCTCAGTTTAATGTCACATGGATTGTGACTACATTCACTTCATTTATTTCAGTGACAAATCTTGGTAAGACTAGTGAAGCTTCAGAGTACAAGGAAACTTTATCAACAACTTACTCATTTGTGTTTAGCTGCATATGTGCAATTAGTGTCTGATTTACACTTTCATACTTTTGTCTGCATTATGACTAAAATTGGGGCTAGAATATAAAAGGTGTGAGATTTATCAAAGTTGTGAATGCTATTCATAACAGTAAACTCTAACTTTAGGTTAGGGCTTCCCAAACTGGTCATGGCCCCAATGTGGTCGCAAGATGAGATTATGGGGTGGCAACTATGGCTGTCATGGAGCTGGAACTAAATCTAACAGCTGTGAGGCCCCTTTAAATCCTTATGTTTTTTTTTGTTGGTGGGGATAGGTCCTTGAGGCCTTACCTTTTCACAGCCTTATTTGCACAAAAAGTAGGTTTTTTTTTTCTTATAAAACCCCTCAGTTACAACGCTTGCAGCAATGAAAGCTGTTCAACAGTTGAAGGCCACTGCTGCTCATTTGAGGGACAGGAGTTGTGGAGTTGGCAACTTGGGTTGGGTTGGCGGTTGAGGGGGAGAAATCTGAGACTTGAAAATGGAATCACTGGGAAAAACTTGTTTTACACGAAAGCCTATCAATAAAATTTGCATTTTGAAGAGCTCTAAAGGGAAAGGTGAATTAATTTGGGCCACTGTATCTGAAGAATTGCTTAATGAGTTGTTGTGTAATGTCTTCACTGCCAATAAGCAAATCTCCAAATTAGATGTCGAATGAAAATGTCTTTTTATAAATGCCCTAATAGTACACCTGAGAGAATGGCTGGAAAGCTGTGCTCAGTTTGCACACTGAAAAGGAACGGTGCTACTAAAAGCTAAAATTCTTTCATATTTGGGAGACTAAATATATAATTTATTTAAGACTTTGCTCACACTTTGCATTCATACATTATTCTGTACTGTGTACTTTTCATTGGTGCCCTGAACTTGTAATTGCGTATGTTCAGGAAATACATTTTCTTTTACAATAGTTGAATTTTCATGGCCAGAATTAAAATTGATCTTGAAAATATGCAAGAGCGCTGATGATGAGGCCTGTGCATGACTATAAAGCATTTGGAACTGTTTTTCACATGAACTTTTATCCGACAAGACAAAGGGCTGTTGTGTTTTGTGAAGCATACAGAAAAGCAGTTGTCGTCTTTATGCATCTGTCCATCGCCTTTTTTTGAGAAAAAAGGTACTGCTGCTTCATATGATGACATGATGCATAACAACTTTGAAGGAAAATGAAGAGAAATTGAAGGTTATGGAATTGAAACGGTCACAGATTCAATCGTGAATATTCATGCCAGAGGTTTGCTTGTCTATTTGGATACTCTTCCCGTTCTGCCACAATTAATACATCAAAAAATAATTACCATTGAATCTTTGTCCCACATGCTACTTGTTTCACCGTAGGTGATCGTGAGTATTGGCACACATGTCCTACTACATATTCATAAAGTCTAAGTCTCTGAAAGGAAAAAATTGTATTTGTAGAGTACCGTATTTCCTCAGGATGGTCCAGGGCATTTTGCAAATGCAGCCACTATTACATATGCAAATGTAGTGGCCAATTTGCACACACCCAAGTTCTCAAAGCACCAAACAAATGAATCCTGAGTTAATGTCTTTGGCAGTTTCAGTTGACACATTAATATTGACTAGGAGAACTCTCAGTTCACTCACGGCCACAGACTCTTCCCGCTAACTAAACAAGCAGACAACAACAATCAGCTTTTCAATTTAAGTGTTAAACTGTTTAGATGTTTCTCTCCTTGGGTGGATAGGAATGATCCTATGGTACTAAACTCTGCTGCTCCATCTCCAAACCTTACCTAAACTCTTATTTAATCTGATATAGACTTTCTAAACAACATCTAGATGTAATTTGGAAATTAAGGGATTATTGTCTGTAATAATGTTCGAAAATCAGTAACTTGCCACAAAATATTATTTTTAGTCCTGATTTTTTTTCTGTTAAAAGAACTCTAACAGATTAAACCCGGTGTCCCTTCCTTCATAGTCTTCTATCATTCCAGATTTTTTTGAAGTTTAAGAATAATTCTGTAACAATGGAAGATTAAAGGTAGGCTATTGATTTGAGGCACTTTTCTTGTTCCAGGAGTCCGTTGAGGTTATTGTGATCTACATTGCTAAAGGATGAAACTAAGAAATCTATAACTAAAATGTTGTAACTAAGTTTTAAAATATCTTCACTTCCCTCACGAATGCAGTTCAACAATTTTATACGTTAGGTTCTCCTTTTGGTTTGTCATTTCTCGTGCCCTCCATCAATATGCTATTTTAAGTAAACTTTTACCAGATTCGATAATATGAAGAGGGGGCAAAAGGAGTTGAAGGTCTTGTCGA